TGTCGATACAAGAGTGGATGCGAAGAAAAAACCATTTCTGATAAAGTTTTCAAATTTTCAATTTTTCGAGTTAAATTAAAAATTTGAATTTTTTTGTATTGGGATTTTTTTTTCTTACAATCTCGTGTCGACAAAGAGAAACAAATCTGCAAAATTATTTTAATATTAAATAGAGTAAGTCTTAAATATTTGTTAAAAAGTTTTTAAAAATAATTGACACCAAATATTTTTAAAAAATTTCCTTTTAATTTATTAACAATACCACGTTGTTACATCTTTTTTTATCGTATTGCGATTTTTTTGTTTTTAACTAAAATTCGGATTATCAGTCTATGTTACGTTGCCACTTGGCGTCACTCATTGGACTAAATCCAATTCCAAATCGGCTTGGGCATGAGCCTTGCCACCAACTCCGGCAATGGCCACAGATTCAGGATTGAAATATACATTTGTTGGGACACCACGCTTGAGTACGGCTCGTGAAATGGGGGCTGAAATGGCGGTGCCACCATTACCCACAATGGCCTTGGAATGGGGTTCCAAAATAAGGGAGGCTGTCTTAAATGGTGGTTTGTTGCCTTGTTGTTTTTTGCCTTTTCTTTGTTGTTGCAAATATTTCTCTTCCTGTTGTTGTTGTTGTCCTTGTGAGAAATAAGGCAAAAAATATGTTCCAAATGGTATTTGTGGTATATTGCCAGTCGTTGCGGTTCGTCCAATGGCCTCAACCTTCACCTTATAGTTCGTTGTTGGCGTTGGCGCTTTCGTTTTGAGTTTTTTGGTTAAGAGTTGGGTCTTTTTGTTGCCTCCTCCCACCTCCATGGTAACTGAGGAGTAGACATGCCTTCCCGGCACCGGCATTATATCCTCAACAACAAACTGAGGATTTATGTCTCTAACAGCTTCCAGCAATGGCTTGTCGTTAAGGAAATCATGTTTTGGCTTTAGTTTTGGTGATTCGTTCGACAATTGTAGTTTCGATTTTAGTAGGGCCTTGGGTTTTTTAGTGGTAGGTTCGGTTTCTTTGACCTGAGTTTTTATGGCAGGAGTTGTATTTTCGATTATTGGATTTTGCAGCAACTGTGGCAAAAACTGATTACTGGTCGTATAGGCATAGCGGGTTAAGGGAGAATCATAGAATGCTTGATTTAAAGTAAAATATGTTTGTGAAGCCAGTTGTTGGGGTTGCAGCAACTGCGGTAATGGTGAACCCAAGGAAAATAGTTGGGGAGGTTGTTCTTTTTGCAATTTTTCTTGGGATTTACTTCTCTGGAAAGTGGTATCCAAATGGGCTGGTGTCAAAAGATTTAGGCCATGAGCACTGAAGGCAGTAAAAGGTGTGGGAGCCTGGAACGGCCACATTCTAAACACTGAAGATGATTGCCAGCTTTTGGATGTTGATGTGGAGGTATTTTTATTTTCAGATGTTGTTGGATGGTTAAGGGATTTTTGTTGTTTGAACCATGTTTTTTTTTGTGGGGGAGAGGATGGAAAAGGGGGATAGTTAAAGCATTAGATTTTTTATATTTACAGCAATTTGATAATGACGAAATCTGGTTCTTAATTAATTGGGGTTTTAATGGATGTTAGTAAAACATTCCCAAATGTTTTGTGTTATTTACATTTATTTACAAAAAATTATGAAGAAATGAAACACTTTACAATTTTCAGTTTTATTCTTATTATTTAATAGTTGTTTTTAATTTGTAGGTAAGTCGAATTGTACAATAGTATTGGATTGTTGCTGTCTTATTTCTAAGAATATAAATATATGTAATATTTTGCAAATAATTTATAAGACTTTTAGAGAGCTTAAAAGCTTTACAAATTTTATTAATTAGAATTTATGACAAAAAACAGTCTGTATTTTTTTATAATTTCTGTATTTTCTTAAAATGTAGGGTGTGTCTGAAAGTCTTATGGGTTAAAATTTAACAAAGCTTGAAAATAAGCTTGGAAATTTTATTTTTCCGTGTCGTATGATTTTTCAAAGTCATATTTGAAAATTTAGATTCCTCTATAGGATTTCCTGTATCTAAAAATATTTGGCTATATTCGTCAACGAAATCAGTATCAATGTAAAGGTCAGCGGTGCACATTTTATGTATTTGTGATTTCGTTAGATTTTGGTATTTTTTCGCACAAATTGTGGTCCTAAATATTTTCTGACGGACATCCAAAATTCTAGGCTTCTATTCTGTCCTAAACTTTAACCTCAGAAAAAAATCCATGTCTATTGATCCTTTGTTGAGAATTGTAGGACGACTGCAAAATCTAGAATTTTTTTTAGGTTTTTGGTCCATTTTATTTTGTGAACATTTTCGAAAGCAATAGGCTTATATTCTGAACCTAACCCTACCCAACCTCTTTGTGGGTGAGGTACCAGAAGGGATTACCAGATATTAAAAATGTTTGTGGGTGTGATATTTGAAGAGAGTTGGATGTTTATTACTCTTTCTTTGAGCGTTTTGGTCTTCAAAATCTTGAGCCCTATGTAGGGGAGGTATCAGAAGAAATGGTCCGATCTCTACCATATTTATAACACATCTTGTGTTAACGGAAATATTGAGATGTACCAAGTCTGAATGGAATCGTATTTTAATTTCGCTTTTGGGGGTCAAAATTTTGACCCTTTGTGAGAGAGGTACCAGAAGGCGTGAAAATAATAGGATGTGTGAAATATGATGAGAACCGATCTCTATCATCTTTATAACAGATTTTGTGTTGATAGAAGTATTGGGATGTAGCATGACTGAATGGAATCGGATGTTAATTTCGCGTTTTATTAGCTCCATGCATATTCAAAATTGTTGCCCTGGAGGTTACAGACAGATTGGATCAATATGGACATATCCCATTATATATAGTGGATATAAAGGGATGTGTGAAACATGAAGAGAACCGGATACATATTTCGGATTTTATGACCGTTTTGGTTATTCAAAATTTGTGGGGGAGGTACCAGAAGAAATGGTCCGATCTCTGCCATTTTTATAACAGATCTTGTGTTGATAGAGATCTTGAGATGTGCCAAGTCTGAATGGAATCGGATGTTAATTTCGCGTTTTATGAGCTTCCTGGATATTCAAAATTTTGACACTTTGGTTTGGGAGGTACCAGAAGGAGTAGAGCGATAGATTCCATCTTCACACCAGACCTTGGGTTAATAAAAATACTGTGATGTGTGTAATTTGAAGACAGTCGGACTCTTACATCACTTTTTATAAGAGTTATAATTATTCAAAATTTTGACCCTTTGTGTGGGGAGGAACTTGATGGAGTGGACCGATATTGTACATTTTCGCACCTCATCTAGCACTGTATAGTAAAATATTCTTTGAAAATTTCGACTTTTTGTGGGGAGGTACCAGAAGGAGTGGACTGATGCTGTCCATCTTCGAACTCGATCTGAATTTGACAATAATATTACTATGTACCAAGTTTGGATCAAATCGGATACTCCCTTCGAGAGTTATTGTGCGCACCATCCAGCCAGCCAGCCAGACGTACGGACATCGCTAGATCGACTCCAAATGTCCTGAATCGGATGAGATACGTTTTGGCCGTATCAAATTATATATATACTCTGTAGCCATATGGCTGAGGGTATAAAAAACACATAAGCTCGGCCGGGCAGAACATTTAAACCCCTATACCATTTGTAAGGAAATTGCAAAATGTGAAAAAGCCCGTTAAAAAGTCCCCACGGATATAATTCCCATTGCAATTGTGGGGATTTTGACCATATTTTTTCGAACATAACTTCCACAACGGACATAATCTCCATGGGGAGTAAGACCGTTTGCTATGAGGATTACTTACAAAAACTATTAAATGTAATTAACATAGGTTCGCGTTAGCTGGAGCGGGACATACCCAGCGAAGAAATTATAAAGGTCCAGACGAAGGCCGACTTCTTAAAAAATGTATCGAATTTAGAAAACTTTGGTTCTTGGGTTCGTGTTAGAGAGGAGGAGAAAAAAGTTTAAAATTTACAAAAAGGTTAAAATTTAGAAAAGTTTGGTTCGAGATAGCCGTTGCCGGACATACCTAGAGGAAAAAATCTCAACTTTTCCCTATACCCGTTTATATCCGCGTGCCCATTATGATGGGGATAATGTCCGCTACATTCCGGGAATTACGACCGACTTTTTTTTAAAGACATAATCGACATTCCCTTATGAGGTTATGATCGAAAAAAGGGGGATTTTGACACGGTTAGGTATCGATATAGAATCGTATGTCGATCAAGAATGTTTATACTTATTTCGAGTAGTTACAAACGGAGTGCCAAACTAAATATACCCTCCATAGCACGGTGGGGTATAAAAACTAAACTTACACAAGTAACAATATATTTTTCATTAGGCACTAATTTCGCGTTGGGCGCCACAAAACGTGTTGTAAATCGGATGTGTCGGTTAAGTCAAAATTAAAAAATTAAAATCAAATACTTTATTCGCACGAAAAGTTGAGTAATCAAAGAGAAAAATTGAAATAATTATTGTCCTTTAAAAATAAATTTTGTGGCAGGTAAGTGAAAAGTGACAAATTACTGTTTTATAGGAGTACTAAAAGCTTTAGTCACATGAAATAGTTATTATCCCTTAAAAATTAATGTTGTTGCAGGTAAGTGCAAAAAGTATCAATTACTGTTTTAAGAGAGAGTCGCTAAAATATTTTATGAAAAATGAAAACACAAATGCTTTAAGAGAAAAATTAAAATCAAAATTTTGTCAATAACAGCCCTGACAGTTAAGTGAAAAATGGCAGTTATAAGTAATGATAGCCTTTTCTCCATTTAGATACAACCATTATGATACAACCTTGTGGACAATAGTTTTAAGAGAAAATTGAAAATAATTTTTACCCTTAACAGCCAGTTCTATGACAGTTAAGTGACAAAATAGCAGTTATACGTGAAATGATTGCCTTTTCTTCATTAAGCACAATAAAATTTCCTTGCATCTGGGTAAAACCTTTGAAAAATTCACTTCCCTTTTTCGGCACTTACAACATTCAAACACACCCTCAATTTTTCGATTTCCAAAACGAAATGAAATTTTTTCTTCATTCTCATGGTAATTATGTAATGTATAAATAATAATAATAATTTGTTTAAATTAAAATAACTTAAATAATACTATATGTGTAAACAGATAAACCTACAGCTAACAGTACATTTATAGCATAGATGCATTTAAATTAAAAAAAGAATTTCAGCTAAGTTCTTCAACAATTTCAATGGCTATGTCTAATCGATTTCCACACCATCTATGGTACCGGGAGCATAGTAGACCGTGGGCCCAGTGGCCACAATACGTCCTTCACGCGGTATCATTTTCGTCTTGATGTTTGTACGTTTGAGGGCATCTTTCAAATCGACATTGGCTGGTATGGCAATAACTTTTGTTCCAGGTCCAGCAATGGTCAGGCTACGTGGATGGGTGAGGGCATAGCCACCGGGACCCACAATGGCTGTGCCTCCGCTACCGGCAGTGGCAACACCCCCCGGGCCAGCAATGGCAATACCACCTTTACGTACCTTCAATTTTTGTATGATGATGCCACCCTGCTTGAGAGCCTCCTTTTGGGTCTCTTGCATGTGTTTGATGGGTGTGTGTCCTAGGAATTTCTCCTCCACTGGTTCTTCTGAGGAGGTGGCTGAATCCTTGTCTTCTGAGTTATCCGAATCTGTGCTGACATTTTCATCATCCCATTTGTAATCGGAGTCCAGATGATCACTTTGATACGTGGGTTGGGCAATGAAAACGGGCGGCCTACCATTGACGGCGGGGGCAGGCACTAATGTGTAGTAAAATTGTTGTTGCTGCTGATCCTGTTGACTGGGCACTGGCAGCTGTAAGGCAGTGCTCTGCAGCAATGGAAAATCGGTGGCCGCTTGTTGTGGCTTATTGGCATCTGGTCTGAGTGGGAAGCGGAATATGTTCTGGAAGGCGGTCTTAATGGCATTCGAGGTGGCGTTGTTAATGTTGTTGATGTTGTTTTGGATATTGGATTGCAGTCCCAGGAGGGGATTGACAAAGGCGGGTCTATTTTTCATGGAATTTTGGTTGTGTGTGTTGCCATTATTCGATACCCCTTGGCCATTGTCAGCACTGCCGGTGGGAGCTGTGGGCTGTTGGTTAGCCAAATAGGCGGGGGTTCCCACGGGGAGAGGTTGATTATTGGGACGGGGTTTCTGGTATTGTTGTTGTTGCTGCTGCTGTTTTGGTGGTTGGGCAATTTGTGTCTGTTGCAATTGTTGTTGTGGTTGTTGTTGGTGCTGTGATTGTTGCTGATGCTGCTGTTGTTGTTGGCCATGTTGTACTGTTCCTGGTGCCGGGGTAACTTTAATTACTGATGCCGATGTCACCGACAACACTGTCTGACCCTCACCCTTAATTGGCTTAATACGCTTTCTTATAATCGTCGCCGAACTGGAGGAGTTCACAAAGTTGCCACTACTCGTGGCCTGGGTATTGGTCTGCAATTTAAATGGACGATTTGCCAATTTTTCCTCCCTCGATGTAGTTTCATTGGAATTCGATGCAGCATCCATGGCTTCAATGCTATTGGCCGTATTCTTGGCCATAATTTCTTGAGGCAAAAACAACAAATGATATTTTGGAGAGGATTTTACTTTTTGGGTCTGTGCGGAGGGCACCTTCGTTTTTCCATAGAAATGATCAATGTCACCGACGATTTTGTAACCCTTGATTTTATATTCCTGCGGATTGTGTTTCTCTACATATTGTTGTTTGTTGTTTTTGTACAGACGTACGGGAATCACGAAATGGGTGGGCAGCTGCTTCTTTTCATCGGGCGTCTGGGGTGTGGGCACCTCCACGCGATGCGGATGGAAATACAATTTATTCGGTTTGGTCAAGGGTTTAGTTGTTGGTTTGGCGGTGGCATTTTCTACGACCCTCGTTAAATTGGCTTTTGTAATCTCGACTTTGGACTTGGGAGTTGTTTTCCTTACCGGCGGCTTATTGTATTCACTTGCCTTGTGTTCGAATTTTACCGCTCTTATGGAGGGCAACAGCAATGTCTCACCATGACTTCCGGTTATTTGAGGATTTTGGGCATGAAACGGTTGATAGCCAGTATTGGGAAATAGATATTGAGAGGAATCCAAAATGGCCGGTGTGCGGGCATGATCCGACTTCTTCACATAGCCCAGAGCCTGATTGATTTTTTCGATTTCTTCCAAAATCCTCATAGCCTCATCCGTTTTGCTGGCGTTCTGGCCGCCCACACGCCGCAAATCATCCAATTCTTCGGGGAATTTTATCAGTCGTTGCTTTTCAATTCTGCAAACGAAATGTTGAAGTGAAGTTTTTGTTTTAGGCTTTGGCTTGATTTTGGAGGGGGGTTTTAAATTTTGGTTCTTATATTAAATTGAATTGGTGGTCTTATATGATATACCAAAAAACTTTAAAGCTTTCTATCAATTATATAAACATTTGCTCCTTTTTCAAAATCTAACATCTTTTTTTCCGGTATTTGAGGGTTCCTGGAAATGTAAAATAACCTTAAAAACACTTTCTCAAAAGCCTTATGTCGGAGACCTATAAAAAGATCTACAGGCCTTCGGTGAGAAGATGTACTGCAATATTTACACCATCTTGGAGGAATTATCTTAGAGAAGATAAAAAGGCCTTCTTATCTATCTACAGATTTTTAAAAGAATATCTCTTAAGAGAAGATCCACTGATTTTCTATGAGAGAATCTACAGATCTTCTGAGAGAGGAGCTACAGATATTATGGGAGGAGATTGAAAAGATCGGCAGATCTCTCGAGAGACGATCTACAGATCTTCCTTAAAAAAGTCTTTGGATATATAAAGAGCGCAGATTTTCTCTTCCCTCTCTCTCTCTCTTTTCTATCTAGATCTAGAGATCTTCCAAGAGAAGATCTAGAGATCTTCCACGAGAAGATCTAGAGATCTTCTAAAAGAAGATCTAGAGATCTTCTAAGAGAAGATCAAGAGATCTTCTATGAGAAGATTTAGAGATCTTCTAAGAGAAGATCTAGAGATCTTCTAAGTGAAGATCTAGAGATCTTCTAAGAGAAGATCTAAAGATCTTCTAAGAGAAGATCTGAAGATCTTCTAAGAGAAGATCTAAAGATCTTCTAAGAGAAGATATTGAGATCTTCCAAGAGAAGAGATCTAGAGATCTTCTGAGAGCAGATCTAGAGATGTTCCGAGAGAAGATCTACAGATCTATTATGAGAAGATCCACAGATCTTCTAAAAGAAGATCTAGAGATCTTCTGAGAGCAGATCTAGAGATGTTCCGAGAGAAGATCTAAACATCTTCTTAGAGAAGATCTACAAATCTTCTTTAGGAAGATCTACAAATCTTCTTTGGAAGATCTACAGATCTTCTTTGGGAAGATCTATAGGTCTTTTTTGGGAAGATCTACAGATCTATTTTGGGAATATATATAGATCTTCTTTTCGGAGATCTACAGATCTTGTATGCCAAGATCTACAGATCTTCTATAAGAGGATCTACATATCTTCTACGAGAAGAACTACATACCATCTACGAGAAGGTCTACAGATCTTCAATGAAAAGATATACAGATCTTCAATGAGACGACCTACAGTTCTTCAATGAGACGATCTACAGATCTTCAATGAGGAGATATACGTATCTTTTTTGAGAAGATCTACAGATCTTCAGCGAGAAGTTCTACAGATCTTATTTGGGAACATTTACAGATCTTCTTTGAGAAGATCTACAGATCTTCAGTGAGAAGGGGTACATATCTTCAAAGAAAATATCTACAGATCTTTTATGAGAAGATCGATAGATCTTCTAAGAGAAGATCGATAGGTCTTCTAAGAGAAGATCGATAGGTCTTCTAAGAGAAGATCGATAGTGCTTCTAAGAGAAGATCGATAGATCTTCTAAGAGAAGATTGACAGGTCTTATATGAAAAGATCGATATACCTTCTATGAAAAGATCGATAGATCTTTTAAGAGAAGATCTGCAGTTCTTCTATAGGAAGATCTACATCTCCACAGTGAGAAGATCTAAATATCTTCTATGGGTAGATTTACAGATCTTCTATGAGAACGTCTACGAGAAGACCTAAAGATCTTCTGAGAGAAGATCTACAGATCTCTTGTGATGATATCTGCAGATCTTCTAAGAGAGATCTACACATATGAGAGGAGATCGACCCATCTTCTGTGATCTTCTCTGAGAAGATATGCAATTCTTCTAGGAGGAAATCCATGTATCTTCTGTGAGAAGATCTACGAGTCTTATATGATAAGATCTGCAGAATTTCTAAGAGAAGATCCACAGTACTTATATGAAAAGATCTGGGAATATTCTGATAGAAGATTTTTAGAACATCTTTGAGCAGATTTACAGATCTTCTGTAAAATATCTACATATCTTTTACGAGAAGGATAGGATCTTCTATGAGAAGTTCTCCAGATCTTCAGTGAGAAAATATATCAATCTTCTACAAAAATAGATGCCACTCTTCTGTGAGAGGATCTATAAAGATTTTCTTCATATTACAATATTTTTATGAAAGAATATCTGTATCTTTCCTATGAAAAACACTGCAGGTCTTTATAAGATAATTTCTAAATATTGTTAGAAAATCTACAAATCTTCCATCTGAGAAATAATCTGCGTTGTGCATATCTTCGAATGGCCTAGTTAACCCAGGTAAACCAGGGAATTGCACTTTCCCCATAATGAACAATATTGTTATCAACCTGATATACTCTCTCCCAATCCCTATAGCAACATTTATGGAATAATCCGACAAAAATATGCATAATTCCAATAATTCATAATACAACTCGAACTTCTATTTTATTTTATTTTTTCGGTGAAATAAATGAAATTAATAAATAAGATAACAATTTCAGCTAATTATGAATGCATGCGACATATTGACAGTGAGTCATGGATTTCTCTTTAGTGAATTAAAATGCACACACATACACGGACATATGACAAACATGCAGTTTCTTATCTCAATATGTAATAATCTAGAAACAGAAAATAGATAGTAAAAGTGACAGGCAGACAGACAGACAGAAAGAAAGAAAGGTGGAAAGATACGTATGAAGAAAGAAAGAAAGAAATTAATGATTTAACAAAACATCAAAAAACAAACACTAAATGATTACCATTGAAAATTAGTCAAAAAGCTATGCTTAAAGCTTGGTGGCGGTGGCGATGATGATACTGGTGGTGATGATAGATAGAGGAGATATCTATCTGACAAATGATAAATGCACAACAAAATATGTAACTAGAAATAAAATACAACAAAAACAAGACTTACTCAATCAAAGCATCGGTGGCATCATTGGTATTGGTGGATTCCAAAGGTTTCGAGGCGCCATATCCCACTAAACCACAAAATAGTGTTAACTGAAAAAAGACGAAGACACAAAATGAAAACGAAATTAGAAAAACTTTCTTTACAACAAAAAAAAATGCTCTTAGACACAAAACCACAACAATAACACATACATGATTCTTAACGTACATATCTAATGAAAGTAAAAATCTTGTCGTTAACTTGAAACATTAAATGCTGCCATGAGACAAATGTTTAATTTTTAACGAAATATTTTTTTCAGCTCCTGCGGCAATTAGCAGTCTCCGGTTTATGGCTTTAAATTTTGGTTGTTAAAAAGTTAGGAAGAAAATAAACAAAAAACACTTTTTTGGAGATCAACAATTATTATCTTTGTGCAGTGCCTCACTTTGCTGTGTTTGCTTGCCAAGATCAGCCGAAGTAAATATGTAATTATGAAACGAAATCGTTTGGCCCACATATAGCCCAAGTTAAAATGAAAGTTCAAGTTCTCGTTTGTCAGCTTAATTAATATTCTGTAACAGATTTCTTATAGCCATTGGCCAAATCACACCTCATTTGAAATTGTACAGTGGTTTTGAGGGAATGTAATAATATTTTCATAAACGATAAGAAGTAAAAAAACATTAAGTTCGCCCGGGTCGAACTTAAACTTCATATTCCAGTAAGATCGTTTGCATAATGCAGTAACATTTATCATTTGGTATGGGGCCATACCAAAACGGGGACCTTTATAGGCAATTTTATTCAATGTTCTGCCACCGGGCTAGAACCCATTTTGAACAACAAATACCAATTTTTAGAAAATGTTCAAAGTATCGAATATCGGGAGGTACCAAAATGTGGACCTATCCATACAATGTTTCACCACACGAGATAGAACCCATTATGACCTACAATTTTTAGAAAAATCCGTGAAAAAATGTGGTGAAAATTATCAAAATACCGAATGTCGGGAGGTACTGTTATATGGGGACTATTCCAAAACGTTGACCGATAAATCTCATTTTCAATACCAACCATCATAAATACAATACAAATCGTTCTGCCAAATTTTGGAGATCTACGTCAAATAATGTGGGCTGTATCGTGACAGACAGACAGATGGTCAGACAAACGGACATCGTAAAATCGACTTAGAATTTAATGCTGATTATGAATATATATACTTTATGGGGTCCACCTTTCCAAGGTGGAGGGTATAAAAAATGTTTGATAATAGTTCCATGCTTCTATGATCCAAAAAATGATTCGGATTTGTTGCCTGTCAATCTCTTGTAAAAAGAAGGATTGCAAAAAATAGCAGCATGTTTGTATGGAATGATTCCGACATTTTTATTCCATGAGACCCTATTCTCACAGACCATATAAATTATGTATTCATGACCACTTCACATTTTCGAATTAGTGATGTCCGTTCGTGTGAAGCGGACATTCCTGATTCCAAATATATATCCCCATTTACCATGGAACTAAATTTAGTACCATTTAATACTCAAAAGTCGATTATATTTAAAACCACGTGCTTACTTAATTCCTTACATTAAATATAATCCTAAATTAAAAATAAAATAATTAAAAACGCAGTAAGTTTGGCCGAGCCTCACTTTGAACACCCTCCAACATTTGGAAGGAATTTTTAAATTTCAAAAAAACAAAAAAAAAATCCGTTGAAAAATACTGCTAAAATAATAACAAGTTTAAAAGCAGTAAGTTCGGTCGGGCAGAATTTGAATACACTTCACCATTTGGAACGAATTTGGCAATTTTCAAAAATAAAATCCTTAAAAAATCTGTTACCAAATATAAACGTTATATTGAGGTCTATACGACGTGGACCTACATAGGCATTGTTTGTCATAATTGTTTTCAAATTCGAATCTTGAAATAAACGGTGAACAATGTAGCTGAAATCATCAAAATACCGTATATAGGGAGGTACCGTTATATCGGAGCTATACAAAGACCTGGATCTGTATAGACAATTTTCTGTTATAGGCTGTAGTATCCATTACGAACTTCAAATACCAAATTTGAAACAATTCCCGTGAGTATTGAACATAAAATCGTCAAAATACCGAATATCGGGAGGTACCGTTATATAGGGGCTATACGAAGACGTGGACATGAACAGACAATTTTCTGTCTTAGGCTGTAGAATCCATTTCGAACTTTAAATACCAAATTCGAAACAATTCCGGTAAATAATATTGCTAAAATCATCAAAATACCGAATATCGGGAGGTACTGATATATGGGGCCTATACGAAGACATGAACCTGCATAGACAATTTTCTGTCACAGACTGTAGTTCCCATTACGAACTTCAAATACCAAATTTGAGACTACTCCGGTGAATAATGACGCTAAAAGCATCAAAATACCGAATATCGGGAGGTATTGATATATGGGGCCCATACGAAGACCTGAACCTGCATAGAAAATTTTCTGTCACAGACTGTAGTTCCCATTACCAACTCTAAATATGTAATTTGAAACTACTCCGGTGAATAATGTCGCTAAAATCATCAAAATACCGAATATCGGGGGGTACCGTTATATGGGACTATATGGAAACGTGGGCCTACATGACCCATTTACGAACTTAACATGCCTACTGGCAAAATAAACATGTGTGAAAATTTTAGCCTTCTATCTCAATTCGGTCAAAAGATAGCGTGATTACAACATTCAGACGGACAGACTCACAGACGGACATCTCTAAATCGACTAAGAATTTTACGCTGATCAAGAATATATATATATTTTTGTTATTGCAAAATGCTCAGGCTTAATCCCTTTATTGTTGTTTTTACAAAAACAAAGTTTGTTTATTAGTGGAGAAACGATGTTAATGTTTATAGGGGATAAGGCAGAGAATACCTAGGTTTCGGAAAGAGCCACAAATCCTAATCAGTTCCATTGTTTTTTTCTGGGATATTCTCCCCAGAAGTTATTTTAAAAATAACTCCAATGAAAAAAAAAACTTTTTCTTACCCAAGTGACAAGATCGTAAGCTCTATTGTTCGCCGGGATTAAACATATTCGCAGTTTAATGGGAAATATGACTTTTATTTAACACAAATGTTATGGTCTATTTCACCCACTAAATATTGCCCGATGACCATCCAAATTGGAAGGCTTCTGCCCAGCCCTGAGCTCTAGCCCCATGCTAGCTTTCGCGTCGATTGACTTATAATTGCAAATTCTGGAAATTTTTCAGTTTTTGGTCCATTTCAAATATTATGCGATCATCTCCAAAAGCAATAGGCTTCTGTTCTGACCATAACCCCACCTCCATGCAAAATTTCGTGGGAATCGGACCATAATTGGGACCTGTAGCGTGATTTCAAATTAACATGGACAGAAGGACGGACTTAGTTCGGTGAGACAGGAAGATCCATATATACTTTCGTATGTGGGAAACCAATATTTCGAGGTGTTACATAATTTTTGGCCCTTTCAAACATTTAATACCCCCAACACATAGTGTTGTAGGGTATATATATATATCTGAAAATGCCAAAATTCTAGAGGGGTAGACGTCACTTTTGTGATTAGAAACATACAAATCTAAATGTCCAATAATTCTATAAAAACTGTCTCTAAAATAATTAAAATACCGAATATCGGGAAGATTGGGCCTATAGAAAAAACGTTGAGCTGTATAGAAAATATCCCGCTAAACGAGTTAATCTCTTAACGGAATCCAAATATCGAATGTTAAGTAATTTTTTTAGAGAATGTTGCTAATACCAAATACTGGAAAATTTTCTACTACAGAGGCTGGTAGCTTTGGGAATAACAAACACAAAATTCGAAATACTTCCGTTTGAAAATATGGCTAAAATCATAAGAATATTGAATATCTGTTGGTACCGTTTTAAGGGGGCTATAACCTGGACCTATAAGACAATGTTCTCCCACAATGTTCTTTATGGAGTAGATCATATTATGAACTGTGAATACCCAAGTTTAAACCATTCCCTTAGACACTGAGGCTAAAATCATAAAAAACTGAATGTTGGAGGTACCGTTACATGGGGAAATCCTGGACCTATATAAATAATACTCTGCCACAGGAGGTGGAGCTCGTTTTGAACTCTAAATAACGAATTATAATCGATTCCGCTTGAAACTCAGGCTAAAATCATCAAAATTCCGAATATGTGAAGATACAATTATTATATGGGATCTATACAAAAACGTTGACCGATGTAGTATAGAACTTGACCTGCCTTCATACAAGAGATAAAACTATATGCAAAATCTTAGCTTCCTATCTCATGCCTTTTGGGCTCTAGCTTGATTCGACAGACGGAAGGACATGGCTAAATCGATTTAGAATTTTACGCCGATCAAGAATATATATACTTTGGGTCTCCAATGAATATTTCGATCAGTTACAAACGAAATGACCAAATTTTTATACCCTACATACCATGTATGGTGGATAGCTTACAAAATTATTTTATGGCTCCACTCTACCACACATGGCTCCGCATTATTCTCAATTTCTTTGGATACATTTTCGATATGTTTCTACCACATTTATCTCTTCCAATATCACTGTGCAGCATTTTGTTTTCGAAAAAATGCAAATGAATGAAATGAAAATTTCTACACCACAAAAAACAGCAAAAGAACAACAACAATAAAAATACCGAAGAAGAAACAAAAATCATTAAGAATTTCGGAGACAACACGTTTTTATGGGTATTCCACAGCTCTGCGATTGGCGTTCGTTGTGAATGTTGGCACACACTCGCTCCCGGCTTTTTTGGTTGGATGAAATGAAATTTGATTGTGACGCAGCTTTCTAGAAATGCGGTCAAGTATTACCCAGTTTGTTTGCCTCTGTGTGTGAGTGTGTGTGCGTTTGGTGTCATTTTTTTTCTTTTTCACCTTGTTATGTTCGGTTTTAAGATAAAAACCAAGAAATAAATAATAAAATACCCTCACGGATTTGACTTTGCCATTGTCAAAGACTAGTCTTAAAACAACGACAGCTATTCTTTACAATTTTTTATGGATAAATATTGACATGTAA